CATATCTTCTTTTGAAAAAAGGCCTGTTTGTGTCGTTTCTCACTTTTTAGTGTGGTTGTTTGGTTTTTTCTTGGTGAGTTGTTTGAGTTCCTTGTAGATTCTGCATATTAGTCCTTTGTCAGATACATAGTTTACTAATATTTTCTCCTATTTTGTAGATTGCCTATTTATTCTTTTGATTTTTTTTTGCTGTGAAAATGCTTCTTTTCATTAAGAAGATTTTAGTTTAATTATGTTTCATTTGTTTATTTTTGTCATTGTTGCATTCAATTTTGGGGTCTTAGTCATAGATTCTTTGCATAAGCCAATGTCCAGAAAAGTTTTTTCTAGGTTTTTGTCTAGAATTTTTATTTTTTCAGGTCTTACATTTAAGTCTTTAATTTATTTTGAGTTGGTTTTTGTATGCAGTGAGAGATCCAGTTTCATTCTTCTGCATATGGCTATCCAATTTTCTCAGCACTATTTATTGAATAGGATGTCCTTTCCCCAGTGTATGTTTTTGTCTGCTTTGTTGAAGATCAGTTGGTCGTAGGTGTATGGCTTTATTTCTGGGTTATCCACTCTGTTCCATTGATCTATATGTCTACTTTTATGCCGGTATCATATTGATTGGGTTACTATAGCCTTGTAGTATAATTTGAAGTTGGGTAATATGATACTTCCAGTTTTGTTCTTTTTTTTTTTTCTTTTTTTAGGAAATCACATCAGACTAACAGCAGACTTCTCAGTAGAAACCTTAGAAGCCAGAAGGGATTAGTGTCCTCCTATTTTTGGTCTTCTTAAATGGAATAACTGTCAGTCAAGAATTTTCTATCCTGCAAAACTAAGTGTCATAAATGAAGGAGAAATAAAGTCTTTCCCAGATAAGCAAACACTAAGAGAATTTGTCACCACTAGATTAGTTCTACAAGAAATGCTTAAAGAAGTTTTAAATATTGAAACAAAAGGCCAATACTTGCCAGTATAAAAATACTTGAAAGTATAAAACTCACAGGGCTTATGAAACAGTAACACAATTGAAAATACAGAGCAACTAGGTAGCAATCAACATGATGACTGGAATAGTATCTCACATATCAACATTAACTTTGAATATAAAGATCTAAATGCCCTGCTTAAAAGATATTAATATAAATCAGTGGACTAGATTAAAAAACACAATCCAAATATCTGCTGCCTTCAAGAGGTTCTTTATTACAGTAAGTCTTTAATATCTAGTGTGTATTTTATGCTTACCACATATTTCATTTTGGACTAGCCACACCTGAAATGCCCAATAGCCACATCTGGTTAGTGGCTACCTTAATGGACAATGCAACTCCCTCAAGAGACCTGAGAATTACTCTATGGGTGTGGCCACTGATTAAATTTCTGTCATTTTCAGCAAGATGGATGGAATTGAAGGCCATTATATTAAGTGAAATAAGCCAAGCATATAAAGACAAATATTTCAGATTCTCATTAACAAGTGGAAGCTAAAAAAGCGCATCTCATGAAGATAGAGAGCAGATTGGTGGTTGCCAGAGGCCAGGAAGAGGAGGCTAAGGGGGAAAATGAAGGAGAAGAAAAGAATATGAATGCATTTGTTAGCACAGAATTGTACACTTAAAAATGGTAAAGATAGTAAATGATATATGTATATATTACCTCAATAAAAAATAATAATATAAAAAAATTCCCGATGGAGCTTACTACTCTAGCCAATAAGATACCAGCTTATTTGCTTCTCCCCCTAAATTTCTCTGCCATGGATTCTATTTTCCCTCTCATGTTACTGATCAGTTCTATCTCATCCTTTATGACTTTACTCATATATCATTCTCCTTTGGAAGCAATTTTGACCCTTGCCTAGCCTTTCTTTCCACATTCTGAATGATTTAGGATTTTTCTTTGAGTTCTTCTTGGTAGCCCATCATACCCGCAAACATACCTGCTTTAATATGAATGTATGATTTACAATTTTGTGTCAAACTTAAGATTTTGAATTCTTAGAAGGGGCTACATTTTTTATCTCTCTATCCCCAGACCAATCATAGCACATCGCTGGAACATGAATCTTATGGTTTGTTAAATGACTTAAAGAACAAATAACTGATTTTATAATTTATAACTTCTACAGTATGAAATAACTCATCAAAGAAACGGATTTTATGTTTCTTTATAAAGGACCTTTGAAATTTAAATCATTTCCTGACTACAGAAAGTACTGCCTAAAATCTTCCCTTTCCTCCATAATATGATTAATATATTAAGGCAAATATTCATTTTATCTACCCTCCATTAGACTCATGCTACACATGCACATACACACACACACACACACACACACACACACACACACACACACATATACATACATAAACTTTCTCTAATTGTATCATCCCTGTCTCTGTTAACATTATCACCATTTTTTCATTTCACCCAAGCTAAAAGTCTCAAAATTTTCTTTGACTAAGAGAGTCACAACATTTCAGATTTCGCAGATATGTTAAGTGTTAGTTTGTGAAGAACTTTTCTGGGATATATAAGTTATTTTATACGTGCTTAATAAATGATATCCTTCCTTGTTTCACAATGCATTTAATGACAAAAAATAATGAAACAAAAAGTAATATTTCAAAGAGCTGTAATTATTAGAATTCCCCTCCACTGTTTGTAATACTAACTTCAGAGTCACACAGAA